ACACACACGCAATGGAAAATAATTTCCACCGTTCCTGTGAGGATGATGATGATTGTTGTCTCGGCGAAAAAGGAGGCAAAAAGAGTCATAGATTGTCGTTTAAGAGATGACACGAAGGCCAATTTGAAGCACTAATGGAGCAGATTAATGATCGTGAGAGATATCTGTAATAATAATTCACGTGCAGGGTAGGGGATATGGGTCCCAATCACGTAGGTATGTGTATATTTATATAGGCATGGTTGGCAAAAACATGAGAGAGAGAGAGAGAGATCCTTACTCTCTTTTTTTTTTTTTGGACCAAGGAGAGAGATCCTTACTAGAAAAATAAATAAATAGGAGCAGTTACGCAGTATTTGGTACAGTAGTGGACATTAATTTTGGTCTGAGGGCAAAGTGGGGGAGAATTGAGAAACGAGTTCGCAGGTGAGGTCAAATAACGAGAGAAAGACGGTGGCACCATACTAAAGTGTCCTTTAATTAATGTCAAGAAAGGCTGCTCTTCATGCGGTGCTTGTTCTAACCAGAGAGTGACAAATTTGAAGCAAGTATTAAAAAAAAAAAAAAAAGGGTGGTCACCAACACTCACAAAAAGATAGTACATGTGCAGTGAGGTTGTTGTGGCCCTATAAATAAAAGGCCAATGCCCTGTTGCGTTTGAATTGAGTACAAATGATTTGTTTGCCTGGGGGAATGGGTGGGCCCTGTACGTGCGCTTTGGTCATCTTTTAATTGAATGGGTTAGTTAATTTGCCAAAACGGCCACCCAGATAACATAATATAAATATATATATATTTGTGACGATTTATTGGCTTTTTTTTATTTTTCGGTGCCCGGGACGATCTATGGACAACGTCTTGAGATTTATTAATGTAACTAGAATTATCTGGTGAGGAGAATGTAATGAGATTTGAATTAGGATATCAATTTGATAGGAAAAGAATTAGACGAGTTAAATCAGTACGTATATGGATGGTTTTCTCCTCTTGGATAGTGTCAAATATGTACATTTGGCTCGTCTTGCAAGCATGAAAAACTAGAGTTGTCAATTTTAAAAATGGCCAAAAATAATAAAATTTAAAAAAAAATTAATTTCAGGAATTTAAAATGAGTTTTAAGAATCCACGGGTGGCAAATAAGGAATTATAGATAATTGGAACGGGGGTAGGGTCGGAATTGAGGGCAAGCGGGCGTGAGGGGCGGAGTTTTGAGTACGGTGGCGAAACGGAAAGCAGTTCACAAGAAAAGGCGCATAGCCGTACGCGTGTGAGGCCATGATGTAACCGCACGTGTAACTGCTGCTCACGTCATACTCCCTCTGCTAACAAAACGCACAACCCCCCTTCCCCCCAGCACGCCACCCATTTCCCCGTTCCTCAGGAGTCAGCATGCCTCATCAATTTTGTGTCTGTTTAGAAAAACTTATAAATAATTTATAAATAATTTTTTAATAATAATTTATAAAATACAAGATAAATATATAAAAAAAATTTGTTCTGACTTAAAAAAAAATGGAAGGCGGGACGAAGTAGGAAGTGAATGAGGTAAAGGGCGAGAAGGCGAGGCGTGTGCAGGCACTGTGGCGTTAGCCAGTTTTGGATAATTGCTTCTCTAAGAAGCTACTCACGCCGTGCGATGTGAGACGCGAATCAGAACCAGATCTTTTCCTCGTCACCCATCTCCATGAATTACTATGATTACACACCAGTACTAAGTAGTAACTGTCCCCGTAATTATGCGCCTGCCCGCCTCACGTGCTCCTTCATCCCACACCCCCGGCCCCACCCCATACGACAATCTCAAAAACTATGTTTGTTTGAATGCTTGCATGAGTGCTTTCAGAATTTTTGGTTATAAATCAAATAAATTTTTTTACATATTTATTTCATATTCTTATTCTAATTATAAAATTTTTGTGTCATAAAATTATTTTTAAAATCATAATTTGATTTCTATTCAAATTATTTATCACTCAGAGCAAGCGATGCGACGCCTGATTAATATCAGTGGTGCCGTACATATATATATGCTACGAGTATTTGATCGATATGTGTCCTGCATTCGGAGGGGGGGGAGGAGAGGGAGGAGAGGGCACACATGGGACATGGGGTAGTCTAACGGAAAGCCAGAAACGGGGAAAGCGTGTGCCCTTCCCTTCCTACGCAATCCTCCAAACCCCCTTAACGACCCTGCCGCATTTACCCCTTCTTCAGACACTTCCTCTTTTACAGTCAAACCCAACCTCATATTACTTTCCTTCTAAGTTTATCCCAACTCGTCTACGTCCGTACGGATCACATCGCAGACACATGCTTCTCTTGCTCATTTTTTATTTTTCCCTGCCTCTCCCCGCACCCCACTTCCTGCCTGGGACTGGTCCCCCCCCATTCCTGCTTCCCGCTTCTTGTTTTTTAAATCTTGCCTCCTCTTGATTATCATAAATTGCTGACATACTTTTCATTATTAAATTAAAAAAAGCACATAACATTATATTGCACATAATTTTTAATTTTAATGAAAATAAAATTAGAAAGCAAACATTTCTTCTTGTTCATATTAACTAGTACTATTACTGTACCCTTAAAAGTTAATTTATTGAGACAAGACAAGATGCTATTACTATCTCCGGTCCTTAATATAAAATTTCGTTTAACTTTTATGTTGGTCCTAAATATAAGATCTCAATCATTTTGTCTCTCATATTTACTCAATTTTTTTCAAGATAGTTCTTCTAATAATTATAGTTTTAACCAACATACTTGATTAGTAAGGATATTTTAAGAAAGACAACACGTATTTGTAAACTAACTTGACTTCTTTTCTTAATTTATTCAAATTAGTCAATGGCTCTTATAATTAGGACCGAATAATAATATATACCTCCGGTCCTTAATATAGGATCTCGTTTGATTTTTATTTTGATTCTAAATATAAGATCTCAATCTATTTGTCTCTAATATTTATGTATTTTTTCAAAGACAGTCCTTCTAACAATAGTAGTTCTAGCTAATATACTTGATTATAAGAATATTTTAGGAAATAAAATATCTATTTATGACAATAACTAACTTTTTTAAATCTCCTCAAATTAATCAATTGATTCTTATAATTAGAATCGGAGATATTACTGTGCGTACACCGGGAATGTCACGGGGTGCCCACGCAGCTGAATCGCTGATTGGCCTCGTAAGATGAGAATACATAATTTGGGGGGGGATATTAAATGTACTTATTTTCACTGTTTACTTCCTTTTATCATTCCCAAATGGAAGCATGAGCCTGCTTTTTGTTATAAAAAAAAACAGAAAACCATCGTCCTTTTGATTGGTTACACCCGTGCAAGTCTGCAAGGCAACTTTAAAACCGGGTTCAAAATCCTGCTTCCCAATGTCTGTTGCTCTGTTTTTCCCCTTTTAGAGAGGCTCCAATACGATACACAGTACTCACATGCGTTTATTCCCATTATTAATTTTGGGTCATTGCAAGCTGGACATTGAAAGAAAATGAATTGAACCCAAACTGTAAGATCACTGTTTATATCAATATTTTTTTTACAGTGCAAACAAAATCATGATTTTAAAAATATCTTTAAGGTATATAAAATAAAAAAATAAAAAAATTTATCTCAATTTATAATAAAATACTTTTTAAAATCACCTTTTTAATAATCCAAACACCCCTTTTATTTGAAACAGAAAATGAGGCTCCCATGGCGGACATGTGACAATGGGTAAAAAGCCAAAATATCAAATACTTGTTTAATACTATTTTCGATTCTTAATATAAAATCTTATTTGATTTTTATTTTGGTTTTAAATGTAAGATCCCAATCTACTTTATCTCTTATATTTATACATTTTTTTCAAAGTAACCCTTTTAATAATGATAGTTCTAGTTAATACACTTGATTAGTAAGAACATTTTAGGAAAGACAACACATATTTCGAACAAATAACTAACTTAACTTACTTCCTTAATCTCCTCAAATTAATCAATTGACTCTTATAATTAGGACCGAAGATAATATTACTTATGAATATGTTTTATGTAAGTTGAAACAAAACTCCTCACACATTTATTTTATATTTTATAAATTATTACTGGAAAGCTCTTAATAAACCATTTCAAACCAACTACAAGCTAAGGGAATGATGATGCTTGTGGAAGCAAGCCAAGATGTTTTATACTTACCGTTTCGTTCTTTTATTTAGAGGGTGTTTAAGTAGAAATAAAATTATAATTTTAAACATATTTTTAAATATGTGAAAAAAAATTTCTTGATTTATAAAAAAATATTTTTTTAAAAATACTTTCTGAGTTGCTAAACACGCCGTTAATAAGAAAAGGGGTACATAGGCAGACAAAGACAGATGATTCAGGCCTGTAGGGGGAGTTTTTTCGTTAAAAAATGCTCTTTAAAAATGGTTTCGCGTAGTTTGAAATGAATTTTTTTAAAAAATACTTACTTTAGTAAAAAATACTAATTGAAACCAAATAAGAAATACCTGGCATCCAGCCAACCCACCCACACGAGCGCTTCTCGGGTTGCATGTAATCCACATATCACAGACTCTGCTCCACTTCAAATTACTTCTTTTATTATATTTTCTCACGGAGACACTCAGATCCGTCTCCCCGGCTATAAGGACCCTCCCCTTTCCTTTGTTTCTCTTGCTTTTTCCGCAGCGAGAAAGAGGAAATCGGAGTGAACCCTGAACAGAATCTTGTGTGGGCTCCCTGTTTCTGCCTTTTTGTTATTGCTCTCCTCCTTCTCTCTCTAGTTCCCACTGCGAAATCTCCCATTTTATTCGCTATTCCATTCGACCATCCCTCATATTTGAAACACTCTTCTTCCTTCCCGTTCTCTCTCAACTCCACCGCCAAACCATTGCCCGTCTCTCTCTCCCCCACAGTCTTCTGCGGTACTCCTTCACAGCTCATGGCTGAAGGAGGGAGGGAATTTGCAACGCGATTGTATCCTGTACCTTTTGATTCGGATCCTCCTTACATCTGACTAAAGATCACATCAGTTTGTCTTTTAGTCCATCTCGTATCAGGAGGAACCTATTTGGGGGTTTTAAACGTCAGTCCTCTCGGTTTCCTAGCGTTTTTGTCTCTTGTTCTGTGTTTCTTGGACTTCTGTTTCCATGAGTTCGCAAAAGTTCAACAATGGGGGTGACGGTTTTAGTGGGGACGTCAGTCTTTTGCCACCAGCTCCCTCTTACGCCTCCCCTCTTATCGTTCGAGCTCCTCAACTTTCACTGTCAAACACTTTTGGCCGGACTGGCGGCGAGATTGGCTTTCAGGTCCTGAGCCCCTCATTTCCGCCCCAGGTGAAGAGGGGAACAATGAGAGGCAACGGTGAAGCTGATGGACCTTCAGAGGCCCAGAACAAGGGCTTGCCTTTCAAACTTGGCGAGGAGGACATTGAAGCCAAGAGCTCTTCTGGCTCCAGGAATGGACACACAAAGCTCTGCGCTAGAGGCCACTGGAGGCCAGCTGAAGATGCCAGGCTTAAAGAGCTCGTAGTTCAGTACGGTCCTCAAAATTGGAACTTGATCGCCGACCATCTCGAAGGAAGATCAGGTAATCCACAGCCCTGTTGTAATGTTTCCGGAAGTCGTCAAGCTATTACTTTACTGATTTTAGAATTTGACCGTTTTGAAGGAACTGAACCCCCTTGCTTTTGGTTTCTCTCGATGTATTGTCATCGCAGGTAAAAGTTGCAGACTGAGGTGGTTCAATCAGCTCGATCCCAGAATTAACAGGAGGGCGTTCTCTGAGGAAGAAGAGGCGAGGTTGTTGTCTGCTCATAGAATGTACGGGAACAAATGGGCTATGATTGCCAAACTGTTTCCTGGGAGGACAGATAATGCGGTGAAGAACCACTGGCACGTGATAATGGCCAGGAAGCACAGAGAGCAATCAATTGGCTGTAGGAGGAGGAGGTCTTGTTCGGAAATCATCCGCCCAAAGGCTTTAAATTTGACCCTCTCAAATAAGGCAGTGAGCGAATCCACCAACTCCAGCAACCTCATCGATGAATCTGCCTCATCCTCCACTGATCTCTCCCTCAGTGCCACATTGTTCCCAAACCCGAGCCCCCAGGGCCACGGATCGCTGATGGGTACGCTTCTCGACTCGTCTTTCGTTTTTCATTACGTATCTCATTATCGTTTATGTTAAAACGGGGGGATTTTTGCAGGTCTATCCAATGAGATGAAGTCGAGAACTGGGGACGTGGGATTCGACAGGATGTTTGTCGGTAGGAACGGATGTAATGAGGGAAGAGCACAAATGGGGAAGCTGATGGGAGTAGTGGACCAATCAAATTCAGACTCAAACTCAGAAATCTCAGTATCTGAGTCAGTGGCCACCAACAGGACGAGCCTCTCAATTTGTGGGGAAAGTGAGAACGGGGGCGATAACATGAACATGCCATTCATTGATTTCCTCGGGGTAGGAGCTGTATGATGATTGAAAGAAAAGGCCTAAATCGAGAGTGTGGGTTGGGGGGTCACTGTTCAGTCAGGAGCACCATTAGGGTCCGTAATACAGTAGGAGTTGCAGAAAAAATGGGATGTAGCAGAAGTAGGTCCTAGAGGCACTCCATTTTGTACAGTTAGTTTCACAAAAGGGCAAAAGGCACCTAAAAGTAAAAGGCGAACTCATGACAGGGGAAGTGGGGAAAGAAAGGAAAAACAGAGGGTAGGTCTAAGAGTTATGAGTTTGAAAAATATAATAAGAAGACATGCCTTGGATTTGGACGGGGGCAGAAACAAGAGGGAGAAAGGGAGGATGGTGGGGTTCGTTATTGGGTGATGTTGTGGACTTTGGCGCTTTATTGTGGAAGTAAAGCCGAGGTAGGTTGAATTGGATTAGACGGGGAGGGGTGGAATGAATGAAAGTAGTGGAGTCATTATAATTGGTTGTTTACCTGGAAACATGTGTTATTGGGGTTTGGCACTTTTTCAACTGGGTAAACGTTTGGTATTGGATGTTTGACCCTGTTCTTTTACATGTACCGCCCGTGACAATTTATACTGTATAACTCCACCTCAATATTTTATATGCTTAACCAATCGGATCCTTTTCGTTGCAATTGTTGTGTGTTGCATTACATTTTTTATTCAGATGAAACGAGCTGTCAGAACAGGCCAAATGTTGATGTTATTTTGGAGGATGTGGCGCTTTAAATTATATGATAAATTAAAAACTTTAGATTCAAATCATCCAAATTAGATTTCAACAACACAGATGTTATAAAAAAAAATGCGTGAGGAGCATAGTAACCTAGTTGTAGAAGGCATTCGCAACTATGCTGCCTGCACGGGAAGTTACAGACAATGTTGTCAAACAAGATGATGAATGGGAACTAACAACATATGGGATGACGCTTGTGGGGCAACGTAGGAGTGGGAGTCACAATTTGAGGACTTTATTTTTTTTTTGGCGAGCTCGGCTGTGCTTGGAAAGGTGATGACCATGAGACGCCAATTGAGGCCACCTTCGTTGTAAATGGTATGACGTGTCAAGGGCGTGTTATTAAGAGGATTATTTTTATTTTAGATTTCATGCATGTTAAAAATATTAGATCTGCTGAAATTAAATCAGGATAGTTGAACTTTGGGTTCCAAATAGAATGCTGTCTCTTAGGCTTGACATTTTTACATTTTGTTCAGAGCTCAGACTCTTCCCATACTATTGGGCTTCTATTTCCATCATTCTCCAACCCACCGTTCCTTCTGTCTCCCTGAAAGTTCTCTCTTTCTTATGATATAACCACGCATGTGAATCCTCATTGAAAAGGGTGTACATTTAGTGTTTGATGGTATCTCAAATAGCATTATTTTCAATAAGAGGATACTTGTGCGTACCAGAAACAAAAACTATGCATGTTTAATGTGTTAATTATTTCAAAATTGATATTCATTCCTTGAACACTTGATTGTTAGTGTAAGTTGATTCTTACTATGCCCGTGAAAATAGTTAAATGGATGATGCGCTCAAATAGAGAGGAGTGTTATTTGAATTTGAAATCGAAAACGAAAGTCCATCAGATTCTTTATTTGTTCTTTTTTTTTGGGGGGGTGTGTTTCGAGAATCCATGGAGTTCACAGGAGTTTAATTCACAGCAGTTACGTACACGCACAGTCACGATATTTCCAGCTGGGAGCAGCCTGGAACTCAGAAAACAGGTGCGATTCAATTTCTGCTGCTACGAAGATTGTGTGATTCTAAACGTTGAAGTAAGAGATTAATCATAAGCTTTAGAGAAGGAGAAAGAGTAAGAGAAAGGAGGAGGAGGATATAAAGGGAGATTGGAGTCCAAACTGGGAAGGGAGGAATAAAATAATTAAGAAGAGGAAGGAAGGAAGGAAGGAAGGAGGATGGGGATGGCAGCCACTAATCAGTGAATCTCAATCTCACGTGCTCCTTCTAAAAAAGCGTGCCCTTCCTCCCTCAATACAACTCCTAATATGGTAAGCTGGGAGCAGACGCCACATTACTTATATATGTCGATGAACTCCAAAAGGAGGAATCTAAAACATTTGGGAGTGTGTTACCACAAACATCCGTCTCATCTCATGTAGGATTGGCTAGAGTAGTTGAGGATGTGGGGGACCAGCCTAGCTATACATGTTGTCTTACATCTCTTTCAGTATATGCCCCCCACACACACACTCTTACAGGAACTTGGATTAACATGTTAATTAATTAAACTTGTGGTATTATCGTACTATGCAATTTATGGATCATACGTAGTCATCAGTGGTCAGCTATATGTTCATTAAAGCGTCATTTTGGAAGCATTACAACGGCCGGATCGAAGCTGCTGAATTCACACACACACAAATTAAATTTGACTTTTTCCTCTTTCCAAAGTCTAAATCATTAACAAAGGAAATATATAGAACAACTAATCTTCACTTATCGGGGGGGGGGGGGAAGGACCGCAGACATTTTTTTTCCCCGGCCAAACAGAACAAATGTATGTGTTTGGGGAGGGGGGTTGGTCAGTGGCAGTACGCGTGATGTCTGGACGGGGGAATGGGGAAATAGAAAATGCAACCCGCAAGTATTCTCTTACAAGGGAAAAAAAAAATTAGATGAGTTAGATCCAGGACTTATCAAGAACAGGATATACTTCCAGGTTCACTTACAAATCACTCACTAATAAGGTCATCATATCAGTAGTAGGATTTAAACTCATAAACTTATAAATTATGAGCTGACTCTTTACCAACTAGACTAATCTTTATTACATAAAACTCCCTTTTTTTTAAAAAAACCCTTTTTTTAAAAAATATATATGGGCCCTAAGTGGTTCGCAATTGTTTTGTTGCAGCTATATCGCTACAAAATTATATTAAATTATCATTGTAAACACACTTTTGGAAAATGTTAGTTGTTAGATACCTTATTTAAAGGTTCATACAAAGTTTGCATAAATAAGAACAAAAAGACTGGCAATTTTAAATATTAAAGTTTAAAGGGCTCAAGTAATTAGTCTGCTAAGCAAATACTAAATAATATTTATATTTAACGGAGTTGAATAACGAGTATCACATCCACGGGTTTTTAGAATTCTACGTTACTGTCTCGGATAAATATTAAAAATAACTTGTTACATGTTGAACTAATAAACAAACGAATTTGATATAATATATATATATATATATATTTATAACATCTCACAGTAAAATCATTTGACAGAGGATGAGGGTGGTAGAGTACTATTCGATATATCTACATCACCTTAAGGAAATGTGAATAACCTTGCTGGCGGGGGCTTGGCATTCATTGACAGTTATCGAGAGTTTCACTTTGTAAATAACTCTTCTGACCCAGAGATTATTTAAGTAATCAAGCTAAAATTGTTTGCAAATTAAATTCTGTGGGCTTGTGCAAATAATTAACCTTATGGCAAAAATTTCAATTGACATATATAAATTATTAATGAATTAGCTGATACATGGCTAATAATCATTGATAAGGTTAATCAATCATCCACGTGAAACAGTAATGACTAATGAGAATAAAAATTTGGAGACAGAAGATTCAGTGAAGGTCGGCTTTTTAAAAGAGAGGCAAGTAGCCGTATGTTGGTTCAAAAATGTCAGCCTTCCTTACTTTACTTTCACAAATAGAATTTATATGACAAAAAGGTAGACAACATAAGCCAAACAGAGTTAGATATGTTTCCAACCAGATGTACGTTCTTCTATATTTTATTAATAATATTTATCAACGTCCTTTAACGTAATTCTCATTCCCACCTCCTTTTTCTTGCCATCTTTTATCATCAAGCTCACTCTAGCTTTAATAATTTAAGTTTTGTCTGTGCATTTTAAATGAACTATATATATTATCCCGCAAATTTCATAAGAATAACAGCAAAAATTCATGTCTTACTTCATAACCCATGGAATTAATTAAGAAACACAAAAGTAAATAAACAACATGGACAGGTTATTAAGAAACACACTTAATATATATAAGATTGCTGGTGGGAATTCAGAGATAGGGAGATATATATGAGGAGTTCCATAGAGGTTATAAATGCATACATATATGGATGAGGGGCTCTATTATATTTAGGTCACACGCATGATAGAATATTAAGGATATATATATATATATATATATATATGAAGAATATCAAGGGAGCATCGGACAGGAAATTGGAGAAATTGAAGATATCTAGAGTGAGGTGGCCTTCCTTCTACTGGTAGCTGCTTCGGTTCATTTTCCTTCCTACGCTGCCTTTGAGACCTGAAATCCCAATTCAACAATCTTTAAATCTTTAGTTTTCCAATATATATCAACACTTTTTGGAATCGTTTAATTTCTACCCTAAGATGGATCCAATTAATTAGCTGGGTTTTCACACATCTGTTTTCGAAATCAAATTAAACCAGAATATGCACTGAATCCTCTCATTTAATTAATATTTCTCAACGTTTTCCCTGTCTTATGAATAACTTTAATAATATATAAAATGTTTATTTAATTAATTTCATAATTCAAATTAATATCAGTATTCACATAAAATTTTAAATCCATATCAAATTTCACTGTTCGTAAGTCATAAATAGCACAAGAAATGCGTTTAGCTATAAAATAGTAGTACTTCACAAGAAAATTATTTTTATACGCATCGTTACATTGGAATGGTTGGAGAGTGATGATTTGAATTGGGATTGATCAGATATTTTGTCAATGAATAATAACAATGGCCACAATATAATTACCAGAAAGTAGCTTTCACCGTCCTGCAAATCCGGCATTAAGAAGCCAAACTCGTTGGTAGGAAGTGGAACTCCAGAAGAATGAACTAACATCACCTCTTCACCAAACATAGTTTTCATGTTTAGAGGTCCCCTCTGAATCTCTGTGGCAACCCCATTGATAAACACCGTCATGCTCCCTGAAACATATGAAATTCAAATTAACTAGTATGTCAACTATATATATAAAATCAAACAAAACAAGGGTGATCTGATGAGTTCTGTCCTGCGAATATACTTGGCCAGACGTAGGCCTGTGACAAAAGTAGTCAGGGAAACTTTTC